GGGACCGTGCCCCAGGGAGAGTCAGTGTGTGTGGGACCGTGCCCCAGTGATGGTTCTCAGTATTTTGGAGGATGTGCCATTGTGGATCTGTGAGTATGTTCTCTCTGTATACAGCTCCAGGTCGTGCAGTAGCGGACAGAGTCTTGCTGATCCTAAGACAGGATGGCTCCGACCCTGGCCACAGCTCACCGTCGCCGTTGGTGGATGGCCTGTACAGCTGTCCTGGAAAACCTGCTCTTCTCAGCTGTTCTCCTGGGCTGGGGCTCCCTGCTTCTCATGTTAAAGTCGGAAGGCTTCTACTCCTACCTCTGCGAGGAGCCAGGTAAGATACCTTCTCCCATCTCACTGCCTCATGGCACGTTAGGGATAAACGCTGCAACAAGTACATTCCCCTAGCACCCTGCACATTCACATCATGTTACAAAGCACTTTATAGCCAAACAAGTGTGCTGCTTTATTTTTTTGGAAGCTTTGTTGCTGTTGTAATGTGAGAAACAGAGCATCCAGTGTCGACACAGCAAGTTCCCACAAGCAGCAACACAATGACTGGAGCACCTGTTATTGGTGATTTTGGTTCATGGTAAGCGCTCCCTCAGCGCCGCCTCTCCGACAGTGCGGCGCTCCCTCAGCACTGACCCTCCGACAGTGCGGCGCTCCCTCAGCGCTGACCCTCCGACAGTGCCCGCTCCCTCAGCGCCGACCCTCCGACAGTGCGGCGCTCCCTCAGCGCCGACCCTCCGACAGTGCGGCGCTCCCTCAGCGCCGCCCCTCCGACAGTGCGGCGCTCCCTCAGCGCCGACCCTCCGACAGTGCAACAGGCCAGGTAACAATGGCAGATTTCCCTGCTCTGAACTCAATGGTAGTATAATGACAATGATTGTTTGTCATGGTCATCATCACTGAGGGTAGCTTTATCCTCCAGACATTTTGCTGTTCAAATTTAAATTCCACCAGATGCAATGGTGAGATTTGAACCCCTGAGCCGAGAGTTGAGGTGGGATCTCTGGCTTACTGGACCACAACTACAGTGACACCACCATCTCCTCACTCACAGAGAGTAAGGTGATGAAGGAGACTGTACACCGAATGGGTGAAGCATCCCTGATCGGGAACCGTAACCATTTCTAATTATCACATGGAAGCTGTTGTGTGATTTGTTCTCCATGGGACAAAGAGACTCCAACATGATGAGAGCTTTTAACAGAGTTTATTGAACTATCTGTCATGCCAGAAGAATTGGTGACCAGAGGGCTGTGAAGTTAAATATTTAGCGAGAGGAATGAAGGGAATTATTTGGGATCTGGGTCGCGTTGGCTGAAGGGGCAGTGGAAGCAAATCCAACAGGAACCATTACATGGGAATTGGATAAACAACTGATGGGGAAAGTTTGGTAGAGCTCTGGGGAAAGATCAGGGCTTTCAAACAGAGCTAGCACAGGCACTATGGGCTGAATGGCCTCTTCCTACACTGAAAACTTTTTTGATTTGGTACAGAAAGATGCGAGGGCTGAGAATTGTCAGGTACATCTCAACTGAACCGATCAAATTATTTACAGATGTTTAACATGGAGCTGTGAGAGTCCTCTGAAACCATTCAGGACATTAAATGATCAAAGCCCAAACCAGAGCACAGTCCTTTCAGCCCATCAAGCTGACTAGAGTAATTCTATCCCCTGATTCTCCTCAAACTATTTCACTTTGTCCTTGTGCAAGTTTTCATTGAGTTCCTTGTTTAATGCATTGTCTGACCCTGTGTAAACAGTCTCTTGTGCGGGCCTTTGTAACAAATTATTCTTTTAATCTCTTCTTCCAAGTCTTCCTTCTGAGAATCAACCATACAGCCCAACACTTTGTTTGATCTTATGACATAAATTTAAACATAAAATATTGGTCAAATTCACACATTAAACAATGATAAAAATGATCTGATTGGGAAGTACTTTGAGAGATGCTGAGGTCAGGAAATACGCAGAGAGAAAGCACATTTTGTTTTTATCTTTTTCTCACTTTCTCTCTCTGTTTCTCTTTTTTAGAAAATATTTTGAAGTTTTTTCGGTGCACCCTGTGAGGAATTGAGCCAAGGTAAACAAGCTATGGTTCAGCTCCTGTAATATGGAGCTAGCTGGGTGGGAGCTTCTGGTTGTGAGAATGGGCTCCCCTGATAGTGAATACACAAGCCTCGCCCTGTATCTGTAATTCATTTATAACACTATCTCTGCCTCAGGCACTGCTTTCATCTTTCTGTGTGTGAGGTGACAGTTGCTTGTTGCATCATTTTTGTTTGCTGTATCGATGGGGGAAGGGAGAGTTGACTCACCAAAGCCTTAACTGTGGGCCAACGACAGACTCCAACAGTTACAACGCAGCCAAGTACCCATGGACTCCCAAACCTCCCCAAAGACCCTCCTTCAGCTCCAATAGCAAGCCACCCTCTCTCTGTCAGTGCAGTCACTCAATCTCAGAAAAATTCCCTTGTTTCCCCCAGATTCCCCTCGGGGGGAGGCGATGCTGCTGTCGCTGGGGCCGTGAATTCAGAGTCCCAGCTCGTGTCCTCGGGATCTATACTTGAATCTGAGACAACAAGGCATAGAGCTGGATGAACACAGCAGGCCAAGCAGCATCACAGGAGCAGGAAGGCTGACGTTTCCGGCCTAGACCCTTCTTCTGATGATGCTACTTGGCCTGCTGTGTTCATCCAGCTCTACGCCTTGTTGTCTCAGATTCTCCAGCATCTGCAGTTCCTACTATCTCTTATACTTGAATCTGGTGGGATTGGAATTCATCTGGAACTGACTGCTGTTCATTATTGTAAAAACCCATCTGGTTCACTAATGTCCTTTAGAGAAGGAAATCCTTACCTGATTTGGCCTACATGTGACTCCAGGCCCACAGCAATGTGGTTGACTCTCGGCTGCCTTCTGGGCAATTAGGGATGGGTAATAAATTTTAGCCCAAACTGTGTCACTCACCTCCTAGGAAGGAATATAAAACAATTGCCACTTTCTGACCAAAACACCAATCTTTCTTTCCCAGCATCCCCCCCACGACTCAACTACTGTCTCCGACATATTTTCTCCTCATTTCCCCCTGCGGA